CAAATGGCTGCCCACAGGACCTTAATGTTCACACACCCATGAAAAAGTGTTATTACAAGGTGCGTCATTCCATGCTGCTGTGAAACGCGCGACCTCGACACAGTCCTCGATTCCACCATTATTATTTGGCTCCCCATCTTCCCAGAATCCTTCACCTTCCAGGTTAGTTCCATCCACCCACTTCCACTCATCTTGTTGCTCCCCGCGAGACAGGCCGATCCAGGTTACGCTAGAACTTCTCTTGACAAACTCCAGCTCAGCTTTTGTGGTTATAATCACAAGGTCCGCTTCTCTCTCTTGACAATCTTTTCTGCTTTCTTCCCAGGTTTTACTCTCTTTAGCAGCAGAGAGATAGTAGCACTTGTTGTTGAATTGTATCCATCCTTGGCGGCAAGGTTTATCTGGAGAAAGCACTAATATTAAAAATTAAGTTATGTTATTTACAACAACTCAAAATGGTACTTCTACCTGGCTAGACCACTAGTCCTCAAGCACATGCCTGATGTAAACACCCCAAATCATATAACCAAAGAGAGACTCCTGTTTAACATTAAACAGAAAGTACAGGAATATTTAGACCAATTGGATCTTTCAATAATCAAGCCTTGTACTTGCATTGCTGATAAGAAATACCAGCAGACAACTTTATTAATTGCCTGAAATGATGCTGTAATAATTATGATTACCCTGAACCTTGTGTTTAACGGAATACTTGCATGCATTTTATTACCCACCAAAGTCTGTTGATGTTTGATAGAGTTCCTGTACTTGATTAAGCAGTAAATCCAAATTAAAGAAGACATTCTATTCAGGGTTCAGTTTCTTGCTTAAGTACATGTCTTACCTGTCCTGTTGAGATTTAATCTATTGAGCTCCTCTTGTAACTTATCTCGACTTGCAGCCACAGTGTCGTATTGGCTCTGCAGAACTTCCATCTCTTCTGCCAGATTGCTGGAATACATCTTCAGTTGATCTCGCTCATGTGTCAGTTCGTCTCTGCTTTTAGTGATCTCATAAATCAGGTTTGCATATTTCTTGTCCCAGTGACTGATAGTATTGGTATCTGCAACAAGTTCATTTAAAATAACTGAAAAACCATGAACATTATCAAGTGACCACTCCTCAATAGAGTGAAACTTAGTGCATTTTAGTGATTCATTGTTACAAGATTAAATTGAGATTAAGTTACACTGACTATGCAGATTTTAAAAGTTATCTTAGATTTTATAACCAACTCTAATTTCTGCACTCAATTTTGCTGTTTAATTATGTTCACTGTTGAGGTAGAATTGCACTTACTGTGTGACACCAGGATCACAGTCAGCAGAATAAGCCCCAGACACAATGCAGAAGCTCCAATCCAACACACTAAAGCACAAATTATCATCATAAGGGCAGTGTTTCTCAAATGGGGGCACACATACCCTGAGGGGTACTTTGGTGTACCACACGGGATTCTTCAGATTGTCCTTCAAAGGTTAATTTAAAATTATTTAAATGTAATTATTCATTAGACATGCATAATTTCTCAAAAATAATTATATTTGAATAAATCAAATAAAAAAGTTTGATAAACCACATTTCACTGAAGTTGCCTGCCACTGAGAATGACAGAATACTCTCAGTGAAGCTCAAGTTCATGTTTCTCACTAAATTGTACATTCAATCAAAAAGATGCAGTTGAATGCAACTACAATACTGTTGTGTTATTGCATTAAGACAAAAAAATTTGTTTGCCAGAAATTTTGTGATGGATTTTAAAACTACACTTAAAAGTAGATCAGTTAATAGACCAGACAGTGATGGCACAGCACTGTATTGTATGTCTTGTCTATATAGGAATTTCTTTTCTACCAGACATTTTGTGCGTTGGTATGGGAATGCTTGGCTAAAAATATATTTCAAAGGGGGTACACTGATAAAGTCTAAAAAAATAAAGCCTGAGAACCACTGAAATGAGTCAGTGGAAACCACAAATAAGCAACACAGATGTGAAAATTAAATGGTTTAATAAGAAGTACATCATAGCCTTTTTATAATGACTACCACTACTATTTCAGCTATAGTAAATGTCATACTATATATTGGTGCATATTCTTACCTGAACTCTGAGATCTATTGACAGTAGCCATCATATTCCAACTATTTCTTCAACTTCTCCTGATCCAGGTCTTCAGTCTCGCACTCTTCACTTAGTTGCACCAAATTGCTTTTATTAGGTGTAATAATGATTTTCTAACTGTTGTGGAAGTTTCTGTAATCGACTCAGAAGAGAGAGTCAGTACTTATTATATATTGAGCAAAATGTGTACGCCCACTTTCTGGAAACTCCTGAATGGATAAACACATTGAATAACATTTCCTGTCAAACAGTTTCTGCTTGTGACCCCAGTATTTCATCTCTGTTCTACAGACATCCAGCACCAGTTATTTCAGTCAGCTACAGTTGACCACACCTCACCTCTCTGCCTGCCAGCTTTCGATTAAGTTATCTACCAGGCACATCCAGTCTGCATCGCTACCAGATAGTGTAGGGCCAAATAGCCAAACGTCAGCACATGGTCCCGTGAAGGCCACAGAAAGAAACAAGGTACACATGGCTCCTGCCACCTTTTGGTCATCTCTGCTGCCCAGTGCCCCAAACACTCAGTTTCCCAGTACCTTGACCTTGTTGCTGTCCAGTGCAACTGAGCTGCCACCTGCTCCTCTTTCCTTTTACTATAACTTTAATTACTTGTTTCATTAATTTAAAAGTCTAGGTCTGGGCTACTTAAGAGTTATTGCACAAATGGGCTAGATCTGTACTCTGAAAGAGATCCTTTGTTTGGCTGTACAATATTGCCCACACCTGGATTTATAATGAACTGCAATAGTGCAGGGTGCCACAGCAGGAAGTGTTTGAGAACCACTGCTCTACATAGAGTCATTTTTAAAGTAACTTGCCCAGCACATAACTGTATATTATGCATGCAATATGCACATTATTACAGACTTAATTCAAAAACATCTATAGCACTCACCATGGATGATACATTAATAAAAAATCATTCAGTAAAGGTAAAAGTGTTAACTGTGTGTGTCTAAGTGTAAACAACTACAGACATAATGTCAAAGTGTGTTTGGACCAACTGCTCACTGCAGCTACCTGTAGTCAGGCATTCACATAAAAAAAACAGGCTATCTGTTAAAGAATTGACCTTTTACAATAATTGCAAAGCATAACATGGTAGATACAACAAACATGGCAAATAAAAGAGAGAATCAAAAACACATGAGAGTGAAAAGGTTTAAGTGATTTGGAAACCATCATATTAAGAAAGAAAGACAGAGAGAGAGGGATTAAAGCTACAGAGGGAGAGCGAGGGCATGCCAGAGTACAGAAGGTTAATGTGAGTGTGTTGCTGACCCTGTGAGCATGCGGCGATCTAACCAGGCAGGCCCTTTGTGGGCTTTTGGTGTGAGCTCATCAATCCAGTCAGCCTCCAATAGTTTGCGACAAACAAACAACCCCACACGCCCGGCTACTCCTGGGAGCAGGGTCCGGAGCCCGAGCCAAAGCTGGTTCTGTCTGAGGGTCCAGACTTAATTCTACTACAATGACATAAGACACACAAGAAACACTTTTTTTCCTATATTATAGATACAATTTATTTGTTGTAGTTATTGCACTAATGGAAGATGGACAAAATAAACAGTTTGGTGACAGAATGCAAGTCTAAGTTATCTTTTATATGGTTTATTTTGGACAAAGGGGCAAGTGAAGGTAACACATTTGACTAACACATTGAAAAAGATGGTGGTATGGAACGTCTATGGAACTTTATCTACTGTAATTAATAACAGGTATAACATGTTAGAAAGTCCTTTAACATTGGGTACATGCTGAAAACAGCCACAACTTGGTATTTATACTATATTTGATTCTGTTACCATCTGAAGGCCTGTGTACTGTACTGTGTACAGGCATTTTACTGCAAACAGACCTATAAATAATCATCAGCTTAAAGGTGGCATGTAAAGGCTCTGATAAGGCCCACAGATTCAGTGTGGACTAACAGGTCATCAATTATTAATAAAGAAATATAAACAGAGAACACCACAGTGGTCACTGATACATTTAAGAATATATATCATACAGTTGAACACTCATTAATAAGCCTCTAAAAAGCGACACTTACTATTTCTAAACAGATAAGGGCTCCAGAGTAAGTTCTCAATACTTCCAGTCCCAAAGGCAGAGAAATAGTTGGCGCTGGGAACGAGGTGGCAGCGGGATTAGTGGCTGGTTCCGACATCTCTATATCTCCCTCTCTCTTCTCTCTGTCTCCCCCTCTCTTCTGACTCTCACCCTTCGTCTCCCACTAAAAGAGACTCCGTTAGACAAAGGACTGGAGCAGCGGGGGAAAATTCCTCCGGAGTCATGTGTCCCCCAAACAGGTCGGACAGGTGCAAGGGCCACTCCTATGCAACCTATGCTGCATTCAGGGACCTCGCAGAAGCTCCTACTTCCAGTTATCCAATTTATAAAGTGCATATGTCAGTGTGACAACTTGGTTGTTGTATTATTCCAAAAGTAATAGTAATGACGAGTACAGATGCAGTAGATTACACTGAACCCACAAATTTTCTCAAGATCATAATAAGGGCAAATAACATTGTTATTTTTTAAACTGTAGAGATCAAGCTTGTATGTTTAGCACTGGCAAGGTGAAGACAATACAATGTGGATGAGTCATATTACCTTTAATAAGTATATTAGTTTAAGGGTTAGAGTCACAGTTGAGGAGATAGAAGAAGTGACTCCACACACACACACACTCCACACCACATTTACCAACACATGGAACTGAAACATCAAGGGATGGAGGGGTAGTATTTTGGGAACACAGTTTCTTTCAAGTAAAATTGCTGTGTTACATCATTTGGGAGGAGAAGTTTCTAATGGTAAGCCAAAGTTAATGTTTAATTAGGACGGGGGAAGCTTGGCTCCTCTTAATGAGACACGAGCGCCCCTAAAAACATGAATTGTGAAATTTTGGAGGGGTCTCTAAAATATTAACAATATGCAATTGTTTGTATTTTTCAGTATCTTTCTCATTCTTGATCATGCATAGAATTGTGATAATTTTGATATATGTCATTAACTTATACATATATCAGATGTGCTGACGTACGACTACATAATTGTTAACTACCATTATCATAGTATTATAAACTAATTTATTTGAAACTAATTAGATTACTAATTTAAGATGGTTTTCCTTAATAATTTTTATTGATTTTGAGATTAATGGTTGGACAAAATAAGCATTATGGAGGTGTCACTTTGGGCTCTGGGCAGCATTTCTCACTACTTTCAGAATTTTTACAAACCAGACAATAAATTTATTGTGGCATATTTGCCTGTTATGAACCTTTGAAATTACAACAGAGACATAAAAAAAAGTTGTTATAAGAATGTCTATTATCTTAGATATTTCCAGAAGAAGAGCCTAAATGACATCAACTGCAAAAAACTCAAATGGCTGCCCACAGGACCTTAATCTCCACACATCCATGAAAAGTTCCATTCCATGCTGCTGCATCACGTAAAACCTCCACACAATCCTTGTTTCACAATCCATTTTTATTTGGCATATGCTATGCTATTATACATTAGCACTTATTGTTGAATTTTATCCATCCTAGGTGGCAAGGTATATCTGGAGAAAGTGAAAGTGTAGTTCAGTTATTGTGATCCTGACACTGTTGCTAAGATTTCGGGGACATCAGGCAACACGTTTTGGAAGCTTAAGTCCAGACCTCAAGACTGATTTCCATCACTAAGTAATTATTATACAACTCAGAATTGGTACTCATATTTGGCTTGACAACTCCTGAGACACATGCCTCATGTGAACACCCCAGATAATATACATCAGACCAAAGAGAAACTGTAACATATACTGTAATAAGAAACAATTTTGATAAAGATGCAATACTCAATTGCTGTGGTCCATCTTACCCTCTCCACTCCAATGATCCAGAGTTCACATACCCTGCATTCCTATCGCATGTATTGTACATAAATGTATAGGGAGCAGAGGGCACATGGTAGAAGTTTGCCTTCAGGGGGTTTCTGCCAAAAGTCATTTAATGTAACATACAGAGTGACAATGTCCATATAAGAAGGAGGCTGTAGTGCACAAATGGGTCAAAGACAGGTTTTCCCCACCAGGAGACTGTAAAACCAAAAGTAAATGTATTCAAACTAGTT